CTGTCTAATACAGGAAGTGTGTTACTGACCAGATCACCAGGTGAAACCTAAGAGGGAAAAAAGCTGTGATACTGAGGTTCCATGCACACTAGCTTAAAAAAAAAAAAAAAAAAAAGTCCTCTTGGCAGGAAAAAACATTCAACCTGGATGACTACTTTTTAAAAAAGAAAAATGATGCAGCCACCACATGACTGCTAAGGTGTGCGTGTGTGATAATATAGTACATTTTTGGTCTTAAACAGATATTAAATCCAAAAGCATAACTTGTAGTATGTTGCAGCAATCCTTGAGGCCTGGTTTACACCGCGTGTGGTGTGAGCATGCGCACTTTCGCTGCACAGAAACAGGCTGCCCTATGCAGATGTGCATGGTTGTCATTATTAGTGGCCATGACATCTAGCAAGCGCAGGTGTATATGACTGCCAAAATGCATGCTACAGTTTGACGCATTTTAAAAATTGTACTTGCTGTGCTTTTTGCATGTTCCCATGCATTTGGTAACCCATTGAAAGCAGTGGGTTGCCAGAAACACTAGATAAAAAAACAACGCGCAAGCTTGAAAATACCTTTATGATGTGAACAAGCCCTGAATGTGTTGGCCATATTAGCAATTATGTATGTGAAGATTCCCCATCTAGTGATCCTGCCAGTAGCACAATTCCTGTCTTAGGGTGCCTCCATTCTGGATGGAGGTGCAGTGGAGTCACCTTTGGACAGCAGCATTGTCAGTCTGGGTAGTACTTCACTAACAAAAAATAGCTGAACTTTAGCGAACTCTTTAAGCAGTTAGTTTGTTATATAAATATAAGCTGGCCTATTGTAAGCACTGTTATGGTGCCTCTTCACTGCCTGTTAAACGAGAAGACTAGTCAAAGCTTTTTTGCTATATTTCTTCTATGGATCATAGGCGTGCATTTCATTCTGCACTCCTATGATCTGTTTTCGGCCAACAGCAAGCTGAAGCCTGCTGTCAGCTGACATCACAGAGCTGGTCCAGGCTCTGACAAGTACCCGACCACATGGTTGGTATCCACCCAGAAGCCTGGACCAACACCTGGCTCAGTCTTTCAGTGATCCACCAGCAGTCTGAGCCAGACCCTCCCACAGCCCAGCCCTCCAGTTATCTGGAGTAGAAAGCTGATGACTGACAGTAATGGCTCTCTGCTCAGAGCGGAGGGGAGACCGGAGTAATCAGTCTTTGATAGCTCCGTTCTCACTGCAGAACTGGCTGGGGACAGATGCAGCCTCTACCTAGGTAAGTATAATTGTGGGGTGTTTTTTTTGTTTTTTTTTTTCTCTTCTTAACCCCATACTTCTTAACTCTTTTTAAAGGCTTCACCTGCATTGCGTATTTAAGTTTTTAAATTGTACTGTGGCAAGCCAGTCAGGATATACTGATTTATAGTTGTGATTTAGACCTAAAGGCTAAATTTTTCTTTCTTCACCTACAGATGCTGTTTGTAATGGAAACTGGAAACATAATCAAAGTTTTGACAGTCCAGTAAACTGCAAACAAATAAAATGACCAACATTATGGATTATCTGAGCTTGAATTCACCAAAAGAGAGGCCATCTTGATCAAGGTCCAAGACACATTCGATGAGTCGCAGGTCATCCTGTTCCTTCACGGTCATGTAGCTGGGGCAGGGCTCGATATCCTTCCCATGATAAAAAAAGTATAAAGCATAAAAGAAGCAGAAGGAGCTCCAGATCATATTCTCGTAGCCATTCTAGGTCTTAAGAAGCTACTGCAGAAGCCTTTCCAGATCATATAGTCCATGCCAGAGAAGAAGATATTACAGGTCTCCTCCTTGATACAGGTCATGTTCATTCCGTAGAAGTTGCTATTCAGGAAGCCGCTCTCCATCACATAGCAGAAGATTCTATGGCTTTGCTAAGCAGCCCTACTCTCCTACATTCAGAAGTTGGAGAAGTCGTTCTAGGACCCATCATTCAGGGACCCGTTCTCGCAGCAGAAAACCACTGCCCCTAAGTGAGACAGGTAAAGAAATTTATTTTAGGAGAAGTTTTGTTCTTGAACATCGAGGTCCCAAAATAAAGGGGCAGCAAGTAACACAAATGGATCCTATACAGTATGATTGAAGGTAACCCAAGTTTGCATACATGGCAGATGTCTAAGAAACCAGTTGCCCAACAAGATGAAAGAATGTACCTAAAGTGTTTGTCAAAAACCTTGTGTGTGCAGCAGTGTTCCCAGCCCCCTCAATACTTACCTGAGCCCCATCGCGTTCTATCGATGTACACAACAGCCTCGGCTGTCTTGGGTCTCTACCTGATTGGCTGAGACAGCAAGTGGGAGCCATTGATTCCTGCTGCTGTCAATCATAGCCAATAAGCCAAAGAGGATAGTGGGAGGGGCCAAGCCACAGCTCTGAGTATGAATGGACACACGGAGCAGTGGGTGCCCCCATAGCAAGCTGTTTGCTGTGGGGGCCCCCGACAGACAGGAGGAACCAGGAGAGCCTGCAGGGGACCAAAGAGGAAGATCCAGGCTGCTCTGTGCAAATTCCAGGCAGAAGTGGGAGTGAGTACCTGTCAAAACCAGGTACCCCAGCCCCCTAAGTACCAAATGTTGAAGAGGACCGGGAGGCAAACAAATGGAACTTTCCCGTGTGGGTGCTGTTCTGCTTTAACTCTCCATGCTATTTGCTTTGTTATGACAGTTGTAAGTCTTTTTTTTTTTTCCAGAAAAGTTGAAGTTGGAAATTGCAAAAATGAATGCCTCAAAAGCCCTTGGGAAGGAGGTTGAACTACCTGATAGCCTAAAGAAAATTGCAAAGGTATGTTTAAATGGGTGTTTTCAGTGATTAGAGCCCTGTATTATATTTGACATTTTAATATGTACTGCCCATTAAAGATAGCAAAGCTACGAGCAGTTATGTTGGAAGAGGTGGGGTAGAGGAGTGGCGCAGAAGCAGTAGTTCTGTTTAATGGCTGACATATTGGTGTCTTGTGTTTTTTATATTTCCAAACATCTAGATGTAACTGGGTTAAAGCGGACATTCAACAGTCTGCAATGTAACACATCTTGCTTTAGAGCATGCATCTGTTTCCTGGTTTGAGGCAGCCTGGTAATGACATCACCTTCTGCACTAAATTAACTTGCACCATTGAAATCTAGACCTCCACAATAGTTGATCTGGCACTACAAATGCATTCAAATAATAGATGTTGGCAATAGAAGCACAGGACTAGAATTTTATTTTAACCACCTCCCATCCGGCCGTTGTATATAAACGGCCGGACGTTGGCAGTGCAGGGGTGGGTGGCTGTTTATAAACGGCCTTCCTGCCCCCTGCTTGTGCGCGCGCCCCCTGGGAGCACGCAGCACCACGATCCGGTGCCCCCTGTGTCCTCTGGACACAGTGGAATACCGATCGTCGTACGGGACCTCCTCTGCGAGGTCCTTATCATGTGATCACTGATTAGCCAATCAGTGATCACATGCAGAGTAGTAAGCAAGATGTCACTTCTGACATCATTGCTTACTATGTGTGAAATCTGTGAATGATCACAGAGGTCACATAGTACAAGGCTATTCACAACAGCCTTGTACCATGTGACAAGCTGTGACCAATCACAGCTCACACAGTAGTTCTCAATGGCTGCAAGTGTGCAGGCAGAGAGAAGGAGAAATTATTGCTTTTACACCCATAAAGGCTGTAAAAGCAATCAGTGTAAAAAAAAAAAAAAAATCTTCTTCATCACCCCCCACAAGTAGTACAGTGTCACCATGTAAAAAAAACATAAATAATATAAAAAAAATAAAAATGTAAAAAAAAAGTTTAAACATTATAATTTTTGGTTATAAACTAATTTGGGTTATTTTTTTTACTAAAAGGATAACAGAATACATTTTGGCCAAGATTTGCAAAATGATGAAAAACACTTTTTTTAAAATTTTGGACTTTTTATTTGCAAAAAAAATCCCAGTGGTGAATAAATACCACCAAAATAAAGCTTTAACTGTCTCAAAAAAATTCATATGGGTACAGTGTTGCATGACCGCGCAATTGTCATTCAAAGTGTGATAGCACTGAAAGCTGAAAATTGGCCTGGGCAGGAATGGGGTAAAAGTGTCCAGACTGGAAGTGGTTAAATAAAACTTGTGGTTAATGCTGCTGTTCTTTCCCCCCTTTCAGATCAGAATTCCGTTTTTTTTAAATGCCCTTTTCTGTTTTCATAGAAATTAATAATGAACACCAGCCTTAGAGGATGAGAACCGGGTGGTAATGTTGTGGTTGGACATTAGTATTGGGGTTAAACCAGCAAACGTACACTGTTGGCACTCTATTAATTTAACTTCACCCACCATTTCTAGGCTGCCATGTTTGTTTACAAAGCCAGTTTTTATAGCATGATCTGTCATCACCTATACCTGTTAATAGTTCAAGTAATTTCCTTCATCTAGTAGACAAGTGAGGGTTTTTTTTTTTCTCCTTCCTTAATACTACATCATTGTAAATTGTCTCAGAAACATTCACTCTTTTTAATGTGAACAGATACTATTTCAAAATGGTGGCCTTTTGGGGGTATATTAACCACTTGCCTACAGGGCACTTATACACTTTCCTGCCCAGGTCAATTTCCAGCTTTCAGCGCTGTTGCACTTTGAATGACAATTGCGCAGTCATGCAACACTGTACCTATATGAAATTTTTATCATTTTTTTGTAACAGAGCTTTATTTTGGTGGTATTTAATCACCTCTGGGTTTTTTATTTTTTCTTAAACAAACCAAAAACCACTGACAATTTGAAAAAAAAAATGTTTTTTTTAGTTTTTGTTATAAAATTTTGTAAATAAGTGATTTTTTCTCCTTCACTGATGTGCGCTAATGAGGCTGCAGTGATGGGCACTGATAGGCTGCACTGATGAGGAGGCACTGGCAGGTGGCACTGATGGGCATTGACAGGCGGCACTGACTGGCACTGTTAGGCGGCACTGACTGGCACTGTTAGGCGGCACTGACTGGCACTGTTAGGCGGCACTGACTGGCACTGTTAGGCGGCACTGACTGGCACTGTTAGGCGGCACTGACTGGCACTGTTGGGCGGCACTGACTGGCGGCACTGATGGGCGGCACTGATGGGCGGCACTGATGGGCGGCACTGATGGGCGGCACTGAAGGGGCGGCACTGATGGGCGGCACTGATGGGCACTTGGCACTGATGGGCACTGGCACAAGGCACTGATGAGCACTGACAGGTGCACTTCTGGGGCCACATTGATCATCAGGGCACACTGATCATCAGTGATGATGATCAGTGTACATGTCCCCTCCGCTGAAAGCCGATTACCGGCTCTCCTCTCGAGCTGTCAGCGTGACAGCTCGAGAGGAGAGACATGCCGATAACCGGCATTTCCCTGTTTACATGTGATCAGCTGTGATTGGACACAGCTGATCACATGACCGAGCCGACATATTCAGCTCTTTCCGTGATCGGTGATCAGCTGTGTCCGAGGGACTCAGCGCACCACCGATCGCCGCGCTGCACGCTCCCTGAGCCGCGCATGTGCAGTGAGAATGGGAGGACGCCATATGACGTCCTCCCAGAACGAGAGAACCACCTTGCACCCGTCATATTACTATATGGCGGGCGGGAGGTGGTTAAAAAAAACTTTAACTCTAGTTTAGACATGCATACACCCCCTCTATGCTAGGTAGATATATGAAAATCCCTTAAGGGTGGTATTTCACAATCCCAGGTACAGGTAACCTTCATGATTTATTAACTATGTTCCGGATTAAGAATAAATGGAAGAAGAGGCCTGCATCACTTGCAGATAAGTTTACTGTACTGTTCTCAGCTGGTTGTATTTATGTTCTTTTCGACTCAGTTATTGCTTTAACATGGTGAACAAAGAACTTTAGTTGCCACTTGTGCCATATATACATGCTAGAGGAGAATATCTTTACTGGAATAGAGTATTGTGATCTGCATTTTAATATACATTGTTGGGAGCGTTACAGTTCAGCAAATTCAAATAAAAAATTGAAGTCTATTAAATTTTCTAGTATTTTTGGGAGACTACCAGTCTGCCAAAGGACCCTGCATTCACTATATTTGGTCTACCACAATACACAGAACATGGAAATGCAATTGTTTTAGTAATTACAAACTGCTAAATACCTTTTCTCATCAGCAGTATATAGCAATCTTGTGACTTCTATCAGTGTCTGGCCCAGCACTGGTTAAATCTTGTAGGAGGAGTTTTTCATTCTCCTGACTGTCCTATGAGCCTGCATGACCCCTGACCTTATGTCTGTACCATTGTTTTTCAACCATTTTTTTTTTTTCAGTCAAGGCACCCTTTAGAACTGCCCACAATCCTGGGGCATACCAGTCTGAGGTGCACCTGAGTGGTAGGGCTTTTTTGCATGTTCCCACATGTTGTGTGTTTTTTTTTTTTATTATTATTATTATATTAGGATTCTGTATGCTTGTGATGCACGCAAAAAGGTACTGGCATGATTTTTAAACTGAGGCACACCAAAATGCATGGTACTACCTGGTACCATGTGTTTTAGTGGGCGCAAACATACATGCAATTGGTGGCTTTTTGTGGGGGTCCCATTAAGAATTAATGGGACCCCGCACGTAACTGCAAAAGGCAACACGTGTGATGTAGGAAAATGCATAATTTCACACACTTAACCACACTGCACCTGGTTGTAAAAAAGCCCTAAAATGTAATTTGCAAAGCATATTTAAGTGGTCAGTAGGTTGTAAATCCCCCCCCCCCCTTGCCCTTTCTACAGCTAAATTACATAAGCCCCGTACGGTCTGATCATTAAGGATTTCAACTGTTAACATCTGTGTACAGAGGGGCAGGAGAGGTTGCATCCAGCATCCTCCGGGTTCTCTCCTCCTCTGTGTTCTCTGTACTTTCGTTGACCTGCCCTTAGCAACCAATGGTGTCATCAGTTGCTAAGGTCAGGTCGGACAGCTTTCAGCTTTGCCTGCAAAAGTACAGAGAACAACCTAGAGGAGCAGAGATTTAGGAGGATGGGATGCGATCTCTCCTGGTCCTCTGTACACTGATCATTAAGGATTTCCACTGTTAACATCTGACAGTACTGGCCTTATGTAATTTTGCTGTGGCACCCCGGTTGAAAAATATTCATCTTCTCCAAAAAAACAAAACAAAAAACTCTGTAGCAATACACACCAAATTTGGTACAGAGCCCTAGGAAGCACTCTGCACATGCTATCAGTAGATGGATTGGGGACTGTGGAAGAAGGGGAAGGTCAGAGAAGACAGGATCAGCCTTTTTACACAATGCAGAGGATTAACCCCTTAGGTTCCACAGTGAGTATAACAAGCATGCGTTACTGCATATACAGACTGATTTTACTGTTGTGGGTTTAGTAACACTTTAATTATCACAGTATGGTTTTTATTTACACTTGTTCAACAGTTGAAACTGACCCCCTTTTTTTTCTGTGCCCAGATATTTCAGAATATAACCTCTCTAGTAATTGGTCTTTGCAATAGTTGATTTTTGGTAAGAAACTGGATGGAAATGGATGTCAATCTTCAGACAGAATTGAGCCTTATTTGGACATGTGGTTGTGGGGCAGTAAATGGGTGAGCGATGTGTTTACCGCCTGCCAACTCCCCCTGCCAAAAATAGGCAGTCCCCCTGACCACAGTAGGCAGTAGACCGTCATGGTGTTTACATGCCTTGGTTGCGATACTTTGTGCCCACAGCAAGATCTACTAGACATGTAGCGGGCGGCAAAACCACCAATTGCAACACATTTAGGCAAGTGGGAAAGCAAGCGCCCCCACAACCATGTGCAATGCAGGTGATTGTGGCCCAGTTGTTGGCAGAAATTAGGTTAAAACAGGAGCTGTTGCATTGCTTCCTCACTGTCTATCAATCGCCTCTGAAGTGCGATCCAAATGTAGCTTGTGCTTAACAGGAAAGGTACATTTAGACACACCTCTAAATCTACCCTTAGAACTCAAAATGAAAGACCTAATTCTTGAGTAGGGTTATCCTTTTTTAATTATCTCTGGTAGTAATCATATGTTCTGTTCTTCTTTTTAGTGGTCTAAAATTTCAGAAGAGGATAGACAAAGTGATAAGTCTGGCAGGTCCAGTCCTTCAAGTGTAAGTACCTTGCGTACAGAACAGTTTGTATCAAACTCTTGTGACAAATGCTAATTTCCCAGAAGTCCTTAAAGTGAAACTTCAAGCTAAAAGGGATGTTCCGATTTTTCTAATCCTCCTAACGTATGTACGTCTTTTTTAACTTTTGAAGTGAGCCTGAACTGGCCTAGAAGGTTTCCATAGTCTCTTCATGCACAGGTTTCTTGTGGTACTGGCTTTAAAGTGGTTGTAAAGCCTGAACATTTTTTTTTTTTTTTAAACCTTTTTTAAAGCATTCCTTGCATTAAGGTAAATGTTTAGGTTAAAGTATTGGCTCCAGTTGCTGTCAGTCAAATCATGTGAGGGAGCAGGAGGTGGGGCAAAGCCTCACTGTCAATGGAGGCACAAAGAGGAGGAGCCAGGAGCACTGGCAGATGACCCTATTTAAAAAGAAAAAAAAATGCTTTATAATTGCTTTAAATATTCAAATTGTTCCTTGTAGATCCCAAATATATACACTGCTCACAAAATTAAAGGAGCACTTTGAAAACACATCAGATATCAATGGGGAAAAATATAATGTTGGAGATCTATACTGATATGGACTGGGTAATGTGTTAGGAACGTAAGGATGCCCCATCGTTTGATGGAAATGAAAATGATCAACCTACAGAGGACTGAATTCAAAGACACCACTGAAAATCAAAGTGAAAAAATGATGCAGCAGGCTAGTCCATTTTGCTGAAATTTCATTGCAGCAACTCAAAATGGTACTCAGTTGTTTGTATGTTCCCCACATGCTTGTATGCATGCCTGACAACGTCGGCATGCTCCTAATGAGATGACAGATGGTGCCCTGGGGTATTTCCTTCTAGATCTGGGCCAGGGCATCACTGAGGTCCTAGACAGTCTGAGGTGCAACCTGGCGGCGTCGGATGAACCAGAGTTATTCTATTGGATTTAGGTCAGGCAAGCATGGGGCCATTCAATGGTTTCAGTTACTTCATCCTCCAGGAACTGCCTGTGTACTCTCGCCACATGAGGCTGGGCATTGTCGTGCACCAGGAGGAACCCAGGACCCACTGCACCAGCGTAGGGTCGAACAGTGGGTCCAAGGATTTCATCGTGATACCTAATGGCAGTCGGGATGCCATTGTCTAGCCTGTGGAGGTCTGTTTGTCCCTCCAGGGATATTCCTTCCCAGACCATCACTAAACCACCACCAAAACAGTCATGCTGAACAATCTTATAGGCAGCATAACGTTCTCCATGGCTTCTCCAGACCCTTTCACATCTGTCACATGTGCTCAGGGTGAACCTGCTCTCATCTGTGAAAAACACAGGGCGCCACTGGTGGACCTTCCAATTCTGGTGTTCAGTTGCAAATGCCAATTGAGCTCTATTGTGCCGGGCAGTGAGCACGGGACCCACTAGAGTATGTCAGGCCCTCAGGCCACTCTCATGAAGTCTGTTTCTGATTGTTTGGTCAGAGACATTCACACCAGTGGCCTGCTGGAGGTCATTTTGTAGGACTCTATGCAAGGAGGAACAGAATGAGCACTGCCAAAGGAGCAGATACCAGTCCTGCTGATGGGTTAAAGACCTTCTACAGCCCTGTCCAGCTTTCCTAGAGTAACTGCCTGTCTCCTGGAATCTGCTCCATTCTGTTGAGACTGGGAGACACAGCAAACCTTCTGACAATGGCACGTATTGGCGTGCCATCCTGGAGGTGTTGGACTGCCTGTGCAACCTCTGTAGGGTCCAGGTATTGCCTCATGCTACCAGTAGTGACACTGACCCTAGCTAAATGCAAAACTAGTGAAAAACAATCGAAAATATAGGTAGGGGAAAAAATGTCAGTGGCCTCCACCTGTAAAACCATTTCTGTTTTGGGGGGCCATCTCATTGTCGCCCATCTAGTGCACCTGTTGTTAATTTCATTAACACCAAAGCAGCTGAAACTGATTTCCAACCCCCTCTGCTACTTAACTGACCAGATCAATATCCCAGGAGTTTAATTGACTTGATGCTATACTCTGATTAAAAAGTGTTCCTTAAGCTTTTTTTGAGCAGTGTATTTTTTAGGCTAAGGTTTTATAATGGGTTGTGACTTCTCTACAAGTTTAGATTAAATCTTCTCCCTTTCATACAATTGCAAAATGCTAGGATTTTGAATAAAGGAGCAGTAGTGCTTAAAGTGGTATTAAACGTAAAACACAAAGTAATCCAGCCACCACATCTAAGAATTGGTAAGCTGCAAGATATTAAAATGTTTTGTGTGGTTTTTTTTTTTTAGCCTTTTTAT